TCTGCTGCTTTGCTTTCGCCGGTGCCGTCTGCATGACCATCCTATCTCCGTCTAGTCGAGCCCAACCGCACACCCATTCCAGCACCCTCATTTCCAGCAGAGTGAAGTTGACAGTCATGGTTCTTGCTTGTAGACAAACTGCACATCCACTTCCGTCCTCGCCATGTGAGAGGACAATTTGACCACAGCTGCAGTAGCATGCCACTTTCTGTAGGTAGTGGTACTCGAGTGCCGTCTCCATGTTCCACCCTAGCTATTCTCAGGCTGCACCAACTGCACTTATACCAAGTTCCCGCAGTAGAACACATACTAAGCGGTAGAGAACAATCAGAATAAGAGTACAAACAAGCAGGGCGTTTGGTTACGGCTTGGGCGCCTCGATGGCCGTGCAATTGCACGGGCAGGATCGGTATGCTGGCATCACCACATGACCCCGTTCCCGGAACCTTTGTGAGAAAGTGGCGCATTAGTGCAGTGGGGAACCTATCTACATAAATTCCGGGTAACAGAGCCAACCATCCATCCACCGGTTTCGCCGCAATGGAGTGGCCCACTCTTCGAAGCTGAACTACTTGTTCACGTTCTTTTTCACAATTTTTATTTACAACCAGAAACCATTCTGCCTCCGCACCCTGCCCTATTCTCCTCTCATTTCCACCACCAGAGCAATGCTCTTAGCGAAGAGTGTTTTCATGGTCGCTTTGTCAGTGTGAGCTGGGTGGAAGAGAAACGGACGTCTGCAATCAACCTTTTGAGCAAAAAGCCTAATTGCCGTGACCAAATCAAGACGTATTCCTTTAATTATATCTGGCGAGCTCTATGGCGATGACTTGACAGAAGAGGCCTGTGCTAAGCTCCCAGTTCTCCTCCAGTGGTCCATTTCCGTCCGTCTATCTCCACTGCTGGAGGTAAGTAACCTTCCGAGCCTTTCTTTTCCATCGCAGAAGGTGCTGCAGACTGTGGTTGAATCAGGGGTCCGTTTCCCTCAGTGTTCCTGGCTCCTACTCCTTGGACTCCGTGAATCCCTTCTAGGTTTCTTTGTCGCAATTCCCGATCAGATCACTAGCTGTGATGAGTCGATCCCCCTCTCGAGCAGGCATCATTTTTGCAGTTCTCATAAAATATGGTTTCGTCTTGGAATGTATCACTTTTGTGGCTCACCAAGTTACGTAAATGAGCCGAGACTCTCAATCACATAACTGTCTCTGCGTCATGTGCACGATGCCGCATTCGTCTGGTCCATTTCCTCAATCCTCCATTCAGACGGTCAGTCGATAATGTTTTTTTCGTGCCACGCCCAGGCGTTGGGCAGGATTTTGAATATACCCTTGCCTCTCACTTTTCTTTTCCGAAACGGCGTGCCCTGTCGTGAAATCTTCGATTCTCTAAACGCGTCACGTCGCAAAGTGAAGGCAGCCTCAAAGACTAAAAAAATGAAGAACATTCATCTTGTTCGTCCCATAAAGAGGTGTGATAGGAAGTACTGAGACGAGAAAAACAGACTCGTCACTTCTTCACTCCTGCGCTTTGAAGAACACAAAACATCACAGAAATGTGGGGCCAGTGAAGGTTGTTGGTAGAAAAGTTACCTTTTTTCATCGCAGCTATCCCCTACAATCCCTCCTCAAGTATAAGTTTCAGGTAACATCTCCAATTTCAAAACAGACTTGTTTGCGGTTCACATAACATGTTGATACACAGGCTCCGAGTAGCTGCTGCAACTTACCACTATTCCCTTGTTAAGCACATTTGTGATTATGAGGCGTATATGTCTTTTGAATTCCTGAAAATTTATCTCTGATTTGCATGATTTCTTTCAAGACAAAATACTGTTACTCAAGACTGAGGATCGCAGTGGATAGTGATATTTTGGCAACTCTATGAAAATTATTTTTACACTGGTAATAAGTACTAACTGTGGACACGCTGCATACCAATTCAGAAACCATGTGCTCGTTTCTAAACAAGAGTTCCTTCCGGAAATATATGCGTGATTGAGGGTAGACAAAAAGGGTCTTTGAGCACAAAAATGCCGATGCTATGGAAAGTATAGAGTCTTCAACTTTGAGAAGAATTTGATTTACTTTTAGGCACTTGTCGCATAATGACGTCAGTGTCTCAAAGTCGGAAGGTGGACCTTTCACGGTTATCCTGATGCTCTGCACAAATTACGTTGGCTGCGGGTCCCGTATGTTTTGAGAGATCGAGTTTTTTTCGTAGGGAAAGGTGTGAGAGCGTTTGTATCCATCATTATAATAGCGTGGTCCTCGCCAGCCATTGGACGCCTTATGAAAGCTAACTCTTCACTACGCAAGCAAAAGCATCGGAAACTCAGAACACATCTCGAGTTTTACTTCGGCCCTCGCCATGAAGCGTCTTTATTCTCGTAATGAATCAGTTCGAAAACAACTAGCAGTTGGAAGTCGCAACGTCTGCTTTGCAAGCCGCGATCTGGTAGTAGTGATGTTTCAGACAAGCTGTACAGACAAATGTTCCTCTCTAATTGACGATCCGTTTGCGATTTTGATGGTGCTGTGTGCAGGGGTCGACCGAGGGAGCACATCGATCCTTAAGTAGTTCAGTAAGCCGAGCAATTCGTGTTCATACTGATGTACAGCACTCATTTCGTCTTGTAGACTAAAGCGTTTGTTTGGAGCACTGGTATCATGGAATATTATTCGGAACGTAGGCGTGTTCCTTGACTCTGCAGCTTCCTCGACAGCTCTCATATTCTTGTATGACTGGTAGAGCTGAAACGTTTGAGGGAGACGGTGCTGATGGGACGTAATTTTCTGCCCACAGTGCAAAAAAAGAAACATGAACAAGCGAGTAGTAAGAATAGGATGGGTATTAACTCTGTGAATACCGTTCACATTATCGATCTCGCTTCTCCAGGCGAAGGGTAAGCATTTCGTTAAAAGGAATATGGCACAACTTCCAAAACTTCTAAACCTACTAATTACTTCCTGACGAACACGTTGAAAACCATTTGCGCCACAAGGAAAGCATTGATGTTTTGATCAGTGGTAATGCTTATTTGGCTGCCAGTTAGAAATAAAGTATAAAACAACGTCGTGCGCGGCAGTGCAAATACCGTATGCTTGTAACGGAGAGTGAGTGGACGATGACTCACATGTCGTTTGCTCGATGATTCACCATGTTGTGCTCGCTCAATACTATTGCCGAGGACTAAGCTCTCACGAAAATTATGATCAGGAATAATTCTCACGTACACGCTGTAGTGAACCAAAAACTGCAAAATTTCTTTATCGTGGAACCAGTATGGCTGACGGCTCTGCTGCTCGCATCACGAGGTGAACCCTACCGACTGATCGCTGTCAAGATATCTGCACCGACTCTCAATGCTTGCCTTGACTTCTGCTTTTTCTGATACTACCATTCTTCCCCGATTCCTTCCTGGAGAAATATCGAGATGAGCGCAAACCCATTTATCTAGCCCCTGAACTCTGAGAAAGAAATCGATCATCTATATCTGCCTCTGCCGGAGAACGCTGAGTGTGGAGAGCGTTCCGGAAATCTAATAGTCCACGTGAAGCACATCCACGATGGGACAGAGGCTACATGCACTCTAATCGGCCTCAAAAAGCAGGGTGGACATACCCGTCGGGCTGCCTCAGGAAGCAGTGTTGAGCTGAAAACGAAAAGGCACCTTGAGACAAGCTGACACGTTGACCTGATGGCGAATGGTAGGTTACAACCTAACTTCAGAGCAAGCTGCAAAAAGACAGAATCACGCGTTGAGGATGGCCTCCGATTGAACATGAAGAAGAACGAGTTCCTGAGCTCTGCGTGGAGAGACATCATTGAAAGGGTTGAGGAACTTCTCTACCTGAAGAGCGATCTACCTGCTCAAAGCGGGCGCAGACCAGGTAGTGAAAGTAACGGAGCCAATTATTGTATATGACGCATCAGGTCGGATCACCTGGCTACCGCCGGGTGATCCGACTTTGTTTCTTCTGTTTCACGGCCCGGCTTCGCCAGGCACTCTTCCCTTGGGCGAGGTAGAATGCGCTAAATGTGCCAAATGGTGGCAGTTATTTTTTTATTGAAATGTAGGAAAATGAGTTGAAAATAGCTCAACATCAGTCATTATCTACCAATATCTGGTCCCTCTTGCTTACTACAGGCTTTCAACCGTGAGAAGGCTGCACCACATTAACTGCAATCATGGGTGCCATTGAAAAGGAGAACTCCACATTGCTTGTACATATCAAAGTGTGTGTCGCACGGAGAGCTCAAATGTTACCACCGACAGGACGTTCCCACTCCCAGTGTTGGGTCCCCTACTTATTCTGCTTCGATTGCGACCGCCACCTTCTAACACATCACATAGCAGGCAGATTTGGGAAGATTGTTGATCGATGGATTCCTCGATTTTCCTGGAACTTTGAATGAGACCTGGGTAGATCGATAGTCTATAAGGTTATTTACAAATATAGATAGCAAAACTGCAACCTGCATTTCACAAGCAACTTATGAGCAGGTAAAGTTTGTAATGGTGCAGTAGGGTGGAGGCTTGGTGGTGAGCTGTGAAGCATGAGCGAGGAATCGCATACGTCGAATCGAGCTTGTGGAATGCAGGTTGAAGTTTTGCTATCTATATTTGTAAATAACCTTATAGACTCTATCGATCTACCCAGGTCTCCATTCAAAGTTCCATGGTATGTTGGCGGACTTCCTTTCTGACAGTGCCTGCGGCGGTCCACGACTCCATATAGGCAGAAACCTGAATATCGGCGCGGTCACGAATTGTGTGTCAATCGAAGTGAAGGCAGCAGAGCAGCGACTTCGATGGTGCAGAGATTGCAGAACCACCTGTTAGGGAAAGAAGGGGATTTTGAATTACAGGGAAAACGACCGCTAGGCCCTAAAGAACAGATGGCACATTATCGAAGAGCGCCTCACGTCGACGGCAGATACCATGGATAGGGAAAAAAGAGATGACTGACAATAGCTGCAGACCTCGTGATGGCGCAGAATCAACGCTAGAGAAAGGAAGAGGATATGGGCCACTCGTCTCGTGCGTGAGATTTGCTCTGTCGCATGCGTGAGTCTTCCTGTACAACTCTAGCTTGCCCTGCGCCCGATTTCTGTAAACCTGTTGTCACAAAAGATATTAGGACAAGGAGTTGTATGCATACCGCTTCCGTGGCAATCTTCACATTTTCTTGCGTTTCCATTCTACCTTTTTTGGACACAGAAGTTGCTTTTTCTTCCAGGAGGTGTGAGAACAAACCCGCGCTTGACTCGGTTGGATTTCTTCCTTGTCCAGCTAGTCTAGACCGCACTCTCGGTGATCGAGCCGCCTTCCAGGCTGCACAATGCGTGACGAAGATTTATTGTCGTTGTACCTTGGAAGTGAACACCTGCAAAACTTCTCTCTCTCTCTCTCTCTCTCTCTCTCTCTCTCTTGTGACGACACTGCCAGGAGTTTTACGTATATAGCCGTCAACCGTTCCATGTGGATCCCACTGCTTTCCATGACGACCTTCGAAAACGTAGTACATGTGATGCAGAAACCATCCGTTTTTCAGGCTAGAATGCGATTCGTGTACCCGTTAAAATCACCAACGATGGAATGGCTGGTGGACTACTACAGTAAACTCACCCGCACACGCAGGTTTTTTCGCAGATTCTTACATATTCTGTTACAGTGTTACGGTATCCATTTGCCGCAGATAAAAGGTCGAGCAATGGGTTCTAAGGTGTTCAGATTTAGGATGTTCAAATGTTTTTCCTTAGCCGAAGCAACCGAATATTTCGTCACAGTATGCAATCGAAACCTGCGTGATTTGTCTTCACTCAATTAGACAAGCCCTTGCTCAAGAACGGCATCCTTCGTTAACCCATAATTTCGATGGATGTATGAAACAATGGAGAAATTTCAGTAATGAAGACTAACTTCAAATTCACGTACTGGCCAAAACTCCTATCCACGTGACCTGTCAGTTTTCGTGAATCTCTTCAAATTATTATTGCAATTGAAAGAAATTCTAGCGATAGATCAGCAGAACAACTTCGCAGAGTTGGAACACAAAACGCCAAAATTGTACGACAAGTGCCCAACAAGCGAAGAATAACAGAATTGTTTAGTCGTTTCTGGTTTCTTGCAAAACGGCTATCTCCAAGCACCTACGTCTTTTAATGTCCAAGTTCTTTATCGATATACACGCAAGTGCGACAGTTCGTATCGCTGGTGTGTTTCACTGACAAACAATACAGTGATCTGCCTGGCCACAGTGGTTTTTCGGACTAAGTAGTCTCCTTGTATCTGAAATTGAGTCAGCCCATTGAAGGGAGACAGTCTAATTATTGACTTCATTTTCTGACATACCTTTAACATGTCCTCCACCTCTTTACGTGGAATCATGCCGTGGTACCAAATATGTGTTGTCAAAGTCTTGTCTACTAGCTGAAATAGAATGGGTACATTGATACGTGTTGTCTGCCTAACTGTAGCACCTGGAATGCACATCATCATGCTCAGGATTGCAAGAAAACAGATGTTTGTCTGCTGAGGTAGGAAGAGAGGATGTAGGGGGGGGGGAATCGTACCAATCCCCCCTTTTTTTGGGGGGAGGGGAGGGGTGGTACGACCCATCCACTGGCCCTCTGTCTCTCCTCACTCAATCGAGCCGTCGAGCGGGGGGAAGGGGGGGGGGGATAAAATAGCACATGTGAAACAATACGACCCCCATCCTCTACCAATTTTTAGATTTGCCCCAACTTATGACACTTTTTTTCCAAAATTTCCCGAAAACTTCCCTACTTTTTACCAAAAACTAAAATTTTGCTGTCGAGCGAGGTGGGGGAGGGAGGGGGGGCTGGGCCGTAACAGTACGCAGAACCTGGAAAAACACAAAAAGTCAATCACCGCTCCTGGAACGTTAAAAAGTAAATACGTCCCCCTCCCAACAATGACCAAGACGACCTCCCCCCATTTACAACGTCCGTGGAACGAGAAAAATCAACTATCAAAATAAATTCTCCCAGCCCACGACCCCTCCCCCCTCTGCTGGCGGCCAAATACGACCCCCTCTAGTGGGGATTCCCCAACAGCTATATGCCCTCTTCGCCAGGCGCTCCTACCTCAGGCGACCTGTAATGGGCAAAATGTGCCAATAGTCACAGAGCATTATTTACCCAAAATCAGAGAAATAAGCTCAAGAAACCTAACTTAGAAACTTTGCTTTGTTCATGTGAAAGCGTGCATCACATGAGAAGCCTGCATGTTACTACCGACCGCCGACAGGACCTACTCACTGCAAGGCGCTAGTTGTTCTCCATTTTTTAGTTTGTTTGCGACCTATACTTCCTAGCCACCTTCGTTGCAAAAACAGTACAACTATTTTTGCAACGAAGGTGGCTAGGAAGTATAAGTCCAGTATAAGTCGGTGGTTGCGAAATGCAAAAATGCAGATTACGATTTTTGATTGCTGATTTTCCTGTCTCAAGCACACAATATACCCGCCCTCCCGCCGCTCGTCAGTAACAGTTGCAGTGCATTACTACTAGGCAAGACGAGATTACAAGCAGAAAGCCTCTAATAGTTGGCAGTGTTGCCGTAAGAAAAGGCGCTCTTAGTCTATTTTTATCAGTTGATATGATTACCTGTCGTCCATCATTAACGTCCCCAGTAAATTTCCATGATTTGATAGTGTAGAAAGCCTATCTCTCTAAACAATGGTGACCGCGGTAACGTTCCTTATCAGCCCCTATCAGTTTTATCACCTTCTGTCACCCATCATTGGTTCCCCGTCTCACTCTCTACATCACCTGCTGAAACCGAAACGTTGCTGATGCTGTGAACCGAGCGCTTATAAGGGGGCTACCCACTTCTAAAGCTTCTTATCAAATCTTATCAGCTACTAGCAGTTCATGTCACCCGCCAATAATGTCTTGTCCCAAACCCCGTATCATGTCTTGGAACAACGGATAACCGATGTTGCGGCAAGCATTATCAGCTTGGTGACTTTCCCTTTCTATTGCCTCTTATCAAATCTTATCAACATTTAGCAGCTCTTGTCACCCACCAATGATGTTTCCACACCATGACCTGTGTCATATCTTAGAACTAACGTCTAATTAGCGTCCACGTTCGACCTTCGGCATGAATCTTGGCCATATTGTGAGCTTCTCTCTAGGATACCTCGTAGCCGTAATCAGAGATATAACAGATTTTAATTCGCGCTTAGCGTTCGGCCTTATCGCCTTCGTCCAGAGCCTGCGCAAAATCAAAGATCAAGCTGAAACGTAATATCTCGAACATCATTTCAGGTGCGGCCAATACTACAGGCAGCTCAGAGGTTTGGCCATGGGTCAGCGGCTGGCACCAGTCCTAGCGATTGCCTACATGTCCAAAATAGAACAACCGTTACTGGATCGCCGACCCATTTTGTACAGACGCTACATAGACGACTGCCTCATCGTCTGCACCACGGAGAAAGGAAATGGACTCGTGTTTCAAATGTCTTAATGGCAAAAGCCACAGAACGTATTTGTTCACAAGCGAGAAGCCTTCTAAGCAGGTTGCTATCTCATTCCTCAAGGTGCAGATCCAGCTTCAGCCGGCGTTCTATCGACAAATGTGGGTACCGAAAACGAACAGTAAGAACATCTTAGCTTCAGTGTTCCGCGTCGGCGCAGCCGCTGGGCGACCATACGGGCATCACCAGGAACATGCTACAGCGACAGACTAAAAAATCGGTGCTCGTTAGGTGAGAAGGAAGGAAGAAGATCCTGGAGTTAAGCTCGGAAAATAGCGCTGATAATGGCTATCCCCCATGCCCCCCTGGATAACCCATAGGAATGCAACAAATTCTGCTCATCGGAGGGTGGATGCAGGTTCCAGTTTGCCTACCTTACTTGTGAGTGTACGATCAGCGCTGCTGTGGGGCATCTCTGCTCGCAGTGTTTTGTTCCCGACAGTATGGTTCGACGTGGTCGAGCCCCCCCCCGCGCGAGCCTCAACAGCAGCCGTATCCCGCAAAAAACGGGGTATTGATCGCGGAATGCCCAACCCCACAATGGTTAAATGTCCATCTGGGCGGGAGGGGGATGTATGGCTTCAGGTGTGATCTATCTGATCTCATGCATGAGTTGTGGGGATGAGTACATCGGGGAGACAGGACGATCCCTGTGCTACAGGGTGAAGGAACATCTAGACGGTCCTAAACAATCTAGGCCAGACCCCCCTGGGTAGCCATCTTCAGTACCATGGCAGGGTTTGAGTTTGGTAATGTCAGGATTTCTGATGCAGAGTACCCCAGACATCTCCGCGCAGAACTTTGGAGGCGTTTTGGATATGCGCTAAAAAAACCCCAAAATGGACAAGAAGGGCGAATGCCTAGCCATCACAAACGAGCTCGCCCCGTTCGCTGACCTGTGTGAGCTTCAATTGCCATCGGCTTCGGGTCGAGGGGCTAGGTCAGCAGAAGCCACCCACAGGGAGTCAGTTTAGCGGTGGTCTCAAGCAAAACCTGCCGTACATTCGAGGTGAGTCGTGTTGTGGTTGTGACCTTTGACAGGTTTCTGGACCCTTCCGGTCTGGGACAAACTTATCTGAGGTTTGAAATGATGTCCGAGGGATAGTTTCACTCTGATCTTTGACTTTTTCCAGGCTCTGACGAAGGCGATAAGGCCGAAACGTAAGCCAAATAAAACTGTTGTATCATCTTGGTTCGGCTACAGTAATATCCTAGAGAGTAACGTCTCATTGTTGCTGTGAGAAGCGTTATGGACTTGGTGACCCTCCCCTTCTGACGCCTTTTATCAGATCTTATCAACTGATATCACTTCCTGTCACCCAGCGATAAGGTTCCTGTTAGGGGACACCTGTGATCTAATTACATGTAGGGATTTGTCTGGTATTGAGAGTATCATAGGATTTCTGAGTTTCATGGTTTAGTAGTTTCCGTGTTTTCTTGTAGAATGAAACTCTTCAAGATATTTATTTGGCAACGTTTCGGGCCTTAAGCCCTTCTTCAGGCCTACAATATATGCAATATACAATCAAACCGATTCACACTTAGGCATCACTTCTAGCTAAAGTGAACAAGAAGCTACTGGCTATACAAAATATGCGACTAACCGAATAGCAAGGCAGTGGTTTTAGTCCAGGGGAACGGGTTCTTCCCGGGAACCACGTGAATCACTGCAAATACTATTGGATGGACACGGA